CGGAGGAACTAGTTACTTACACTTTATATGACATACAATTACCCACACTCCAATTGTTCGTATCACACTAGCACAATCTAGTATACATCACTTCTATCTTGTTATTTTTCTTTTTGAATTTATTTTTTGCTTCTTGACCTCATTTTAGGCCATCTATGATTACATCCTTTTTCTGTGTCTATGTGAAGTAGTTTAACATTGGGTATTTATGAAAGCATGCTTAGGTAGGTTTAGGTCTTTAGCTACCATGCCTTTACCATGTTATCCAGTTAGATTGAACACATAATTGCATAACCTAGATAGAAAATGACCTTCACCCATAACTGTTCTTGATTGTGCGGGCCAAATTTGAATTTTTGCTGTCTGCAATCTCTGATTTAGGTAGCTTTGTTGATAACCCAGGTTGTGCGGCTGAACTTTATTTGTGCGGACTGCACTTGAAAATTTTGGGGCTGCGAAGAGAGGTCCGCGCTGTCCTTCAGAGAACTTCTTCTTTGGGACCTGAGTACTTCTACTCAAGTGTGGACCGCAATAAAATTGTGCGTACCACAGTTGGATTTTTGCTGCCGCAGATGCGAGTCCGCATTGTCCTTCAGAGACTTCTCTCTGAAAGTTTGAAACATTTGCGCAGGAGTGCGGCCGCACTTGGATTTTTGCAGATTGTTCTTCCTCTTTGCGGACCGCACTTGCACTCTGTCTTATGCTTGCTACACACTAAACACCCTACTGCTTATAAGCTGTCTTCTATTGCTATTATGACTCTTAATTGCGTTACAACTTGTATATCAACTGACACCTCTCTTTGCACATACACAGACAATGGTGAGATCAAGAGGAAACGAGAGACATCTAAAATAATGGGTGGTCAAGGAAAAGGAAGAGGCAGAGGTGACATGCACCCGAGTTCACAAAAGGCAATCGCCAGGAAAACAACTACTGGCTGGGGGAGAGGTAGAAGCCTCTCAGAGTCTGATTCCTATCTTCCGTCTAGGGAAACGTCCGAAGGAAATTTAGTGTCTCTATCTGAAGAGCACGACCAGGAGCAGTCTCAGCCACAGGGGCAGTGTGAGCCCCAAGTTTGTGACTTCCGCATCTCAAAGCACTTCTCAAGCCACAACTAGCACTAGTCATGAGTCAAATGCAGCTGCACAAGACTCTGATTCTGATGATGCACCTAATGACGGAAAAGGGGAAAAGATTCCATGAGATGGCAGAGTAAGGAGAAAGAGGAAGGTTGTCTGGGAAGATAGCTTCTGAAGCTTCAATGATTATATGGATTTCCGACGGTGGTGGAGAGAAAGGTCCCTCACTCATGAAAGACAACTCCTCACCAAGGACTTAGACAAGTACAATCCAGCAGTCCTGGAGCAGTATACAAAGAGGAAAGGATGGATGCAGTTCACCGAGGAGCTGGTAGATGTCAAGGAACACCTTGTCCGGAAATTCTACGCCAACATGACGCATATTATCAAAGGGACCAAGGTTACCAAAGTGCGCAACCTTAAAATGAAATTTGATCAACGCACTTTGAACGCCTTCTTCGGACTTGAGGATGTGTAGCCGAAGGAGTACTTGGCCAAATTGGCTGAGAATGAGGATGTCCGCCCATGGCTCGCGGAGGTTCTTTCACCCGGGCCTACACCCCCTTGGTTAGGTGCTAGAGTGCCAATCTTCCGCAAGACTCTGAGCTTTGAGACGAAGGATTGGCAGACTTTTGTGTGTACAAGACTTGATCCATGCCTACATAAGAACAACCTGCCTCTGGAGAAAGCAGTGCTAGTAGCTTCTATCATGGCCGGGTACCCAATCAATGTGGGTGCTCTGATGTTGGCCAGTATCTCTTTAGTAGCACAACACAGTAAGACCTCCTACCCCTACCCCAACACTATCATAGAGTACTTGACAGATGCCAAGCTGGGGTCCAGACCATTTGATATGAAAGTTAAGCCAACCAGCCCCTTTGATTTGCACACGTTGCAAGATCCAAGGAATCTAAAGAAGGGCAGTTAGCCTTCCACTACTACTAGCCAGTCTGATGAGCCTGTAGTAGTAGCTACTGGTCCTTTTGATATCCCCTCACTTCAGCTGAGCCTTCCACCTGTGCCAGAGATTTCGTTCTCGAGCCACCATCACCCCTTGCTCCATTGCCTACACCAGCTCTGAGGCCGGTACCTTTGCCTACTGGCCCACTGTCTGCTTTATGGGTTTCTCAGACGCTGGTGAGTCCCAACAACTGGATGCAGACATCTACATCAAAACTGTCCGAGATATCTAGTACAATTGCATGGCAACCCTCTACACAACCTAATACTTCTGACATAGACAAGAAGGTCACCAAGGTCTTGGACAACCAGAAGGTGATTATGGACATACTTGTGCAACTGTACTTTTTCTCCTATATATATATATATATATATATATATATATATATATATATATATATATATATATATATATATATATATATATATATATATATATATATATATATATATATATATATATATATATATATATATATATGAAAAGATTACTGATAGAGTATACTTTCTTATCCTTTTTTTCTCTATATCAGACAATAAATTCTAAAGTCGTATACCTCTTTTCCTCTTTTCCCCCTTTTTTTTTCTCTTTAGAAGTGTAAAAAATTTGATACAATATACCTTCTTCTTTTTTTGCTTTTATTGTTTTTCCTTTTTTTAAGTATGTGTATTACTGTAAATATTTCTGGCATATAATACATCAAACTAGTATATCAGTATAACAAAATGATATATTAATGTTTAATATTATTATAAGATAATTGACATATTTGTATACCAGATGGTATATTACTATTTTATGTGTAGCTTTACACTTAATTTTGATGCAGTAAATAATACCTCCCTGGAACTCTATCAAACAATCGTATAAAAAAACAAAATAAAACAAATCATGATAACTCCAATGGAAATATTTAAGAAAAAAACCTTTGTAACAATATACTATTTACATTATACTGTATAATGTTGCAGTATATTGTATATTCCAGCAATATACTATTACAGTATATTATATAAGTAAACTTTATATTGATGTAGTAAATTGTAGATCATAAAAGTATGCAAATCGTGAGTTGTACCTCATGTTCATATAAAAAGGAATACAATATACCAAACTAGAATGTTGTATTCTACGTGCGACATTAGTAATCTCTTCAATATATGTGATGTTCATGACGGACGGTGGGCTAATGAAGGGGGTCAAGCAGCATTGGCGGACTTCTAGGTTGTCAAGCTTCTGAAGAAGGGGTGCACACGTCACCTTCGGAAAATCCCAGATCGAAATGGGAGGGAAAAGTGAAGAGCTTTATAAAGCATGACATAAGTTCACATGGTACGCGCGCTTTTGGGGCTCGAGGTGGCGTAGCCCAAAAAAGATATATTTGTACGGGTATAGGCCCAAAACGGACAATATGTGCCATGGGTTTGGGTCGTGACAAATATGGTATCAGAGCCGGATTTTCCTTAGTACAATGGTGGAGCAAACCTCATTGAGGATGCTGAGTCTCAAGGGGGTGAAGATGAATGTGATGCCCATGAAGGAGAGCGGGTTGATGAGGGTGGGTCAAGCAGGTTTCTAGGCTAGTAAGCTTCTTAAGAAGGGGTGCATAGGTCACCTTAGGTATATCACACATCGGAATAGGAGAGAAAAGTGAAAGTTTTATAAGCATGACATAAGTTCATATGGTACATGCGCTTTAGGGGATCGAGATGGTATACCCCAAAAAAGATAAATTCATACGGGCCTAGGCCCAATGCGGACGATACGTGCTATGAGCATGGGTCGTGACAATGTATCTAAAAAATTTCGACTCAAATTCCACAAATTGAATCCAAATAAGCTAAAAGTTTAACCAAATTTTCCAAATAACCGTCTAAAACAAACCTCAATCAGAATTGTATGAAACATTAATCATCAAAAATGCAATTGTGCTATTTAAGCTTTCTCAAACCCCAATAATGATGTGTTGAGCTCTCTTCTCTTAAATCTTATCAAATCAACATGTAACTATAAATTTAAGAACAAGTAAATAAGTCTCAATCATATCAACAACAACTTCAACTTTTGAATTTTCAAATCTGAACTTATAGACCTGATTTAGATAATAAATTAATTAATCAAAAAAATTATAACTGCAAAAAAAGGAAAAGAGAAGTTAATAAAACAGTAGGTCTTTTCACAAGCAATAGGGTGTGCATTTGACTATTAGGTAGGAGTCCAAAAGAAGTTCTGTCAAAGAGAAGCACATGATGAGGCGTTTGAAATCTAAACTCACTAAGAGAAACTCATCTTGACAGCGACGGTGTGTTAGCTAATTTTTTGAGCAAAATGGTAGGAAATTGAAACAAGTTCTAGTACGTAAAATACGGGTAGTTATTTTGGTTCCCATAGGCATATTGTATAGTTTTGAGCACTTTGGTTACTGCCCAATATTTAACAAACTCTGTAGTTATATTTAACGAAAATGATGATGAATTTTTTTAAACCCAATGAAAACACAGGAAAAGTCCTGTCAAATCCAAGAAACAACACCATAAATTGTAGTACTAAACACCAGAAACAAATAAAAACTAACACCAACACCAAACTCAAGAAATAGACCAAAAAAAAGCTGAAATTGTGAAACTGTAATTCCAAATGTAAGTTCATGTTACTTAATCAGAGTTTGTTGAATATTTGACGGAGAATAAATACCCTCACGTTTTGGCAAACTTAAAGAACTAAAACAGTTCGGAATTATATTCATGAAGGGACCATTTTGAACCCAGCCCAAAATTTAAGAGACCATTTTTGTTATTTTCTCGTCAGTGCACAAAAGTGACTCTAGTAGTATGAGTTCAAATTAAATATACAGAGAATGCATTTTAATTTACACTATCAATACAATTTAACTGTACAATATATGCAAATACTATTTGACAATATATGCACTGCATAGAGAATGTATGATAACATACCTGGGATAAGAGGCACATTAAGGATTGCATTTGGTTTCTTCCCACTGAATCTCCAACAAATGCCAATGACTTGTTCCTCATCATATTCAAGAACTGATGAGGGTTGAAGATAGGCAACTCACATCCTTTGGGCTTCCATCTCCATTTCATGAACTCAGTATCAGGCCTTCCATGTTTCATGCAATTTTGGAAATCGTAGATCTCCAAACACGTCGTGTTCGTGTAATATGGAGCATCAGGATTCGGAACCCACTTTCCACGAAAAATATCACATTTTGCATGGAGCAGATGATGGTTTACTATATATGTGACATAAGAAGGGTGGTAAAGAGGGATAAAACCTAAAATGATTAATGTTAAAGCTATAATTATGAATAATCTTGGTGTTTTTTGAGCAGTATTAATGAAGTTTTTCCAGAAGGGAAGTTCCATGGCACCGATCAGCTTAATTCTACAATGAAGAATTGAAAGTGAAAGCACATCTAGTTTTTTGGGGGGAGCTAGAAAAATATATAACTTCAAAATTATTGGAGTAGAAGTGGCATCGAGATAAGGAAAACCTAACACAGAGAAAGTGTTAATTAATCACGTAATTAATCCTACCCTTAATAATTAGCTAGCACCTCGATTCGGGTTTAATTTATAAGAGAGCCCCAATAGGACACAATATTCTAGGAGCAAAAATTATGGTCTAGTTCATAATTACTCCTCTCTTATTACGGGATGCTTATCTAACCAATACAAAAAAGCATTACATATATTTGGTGGAGATCATATATATTTCACTCTGGTACCATAATAGGAAACTCTTTGATATTCACCTAATTGTTGTTCCAATTCGGTGTTTACTTTATCTAGTGAGGTATATTTTTTTTACTAATTTCTTTGGTCTGAGAATCCCCATGTCTGAGGTCGAGCAGCTATATATAGTACTCTCGTTGATTGAGGTTAGATACTCGTATGTACCGGGTGCATACTCGACGCATGGCGGAATTAGTATTTCCACTAGGTTTGAGCTTGGATCTATATTGGCTTGTCAATTACTGATCATAGAGCAAATTTTAGAGAGATTCATCATCGTTGTATGTTATATCAATGTAACGACCACCTCTCATGAGAAAATGGATCCCAGAGTATTTGGTTATCTAAAAAAGTACTATATGTAACTGTTCATAATTGATATTTAGTAATAATATGAAGATAAAAGGCATGTAGCCTGTGGCTAAAATAGATTATCGTAAAAACTCGTTCTTCCAAAATCCAAATCTCGATAGCTATCCACATGCCAATCATCCTATTATAATTATCGTGTACGTTAATCAATGATCAAGATGCTAATATAGTATTGTGCGATTAATTAATTGCACATATAAATATGTAGACTTCACATAATATATATTCGCATGAGAACTTAAGTTTAATTGAAGTACAATGTGATAACTCGGGTTATTCACAATTCTAGAGATTAATTGTACCTATAGTAAGCATTTCATCCAAAAATATGAATTAATTAATGAAAAAAATTGACTCTTTCCCAGGTCGAAGCTTCGTGCCGTGGAGAAAAAGTTGGGCAGATGTTTTATAACACCTTTCTATATTTTGAAATACTTAACTTTATAGTTTTATTCTTATCGTCAATGAAACTAGGGGAGATTTGCACAAATAGGATGATTTGAGACCACCATTTTGTATTGGTAAACAAATGAACTTAACGCGTGTACTATTCAAAAGAGGATAGGAATTGTGACAAGAATTCACCATTCATTTTACACAATAACCAGAGTATAAACTGGAAAGTAAGAAAATCGGAGATAAACATAAGACTTCCGAAAGATCAACTAGTATATGTAACGATTCGACCGTTCGTTTTGAGTATTGTAGCCTTGTTCACCCATTTAGTGCTTATTCTATGTTCAATTATGGTTATGTGACTTGCCAGGGTGGTTGGTTTGGTTCCGCGGATGTATCGGAATGAATTGGGACACTTAGTCCCTAGGTGGGAAGCTTGAGTTAAGAGTTGATCGATGTTGACTTATGAGTAAACGACTCCGGAATGGAGCTTAGATAGTTCCAATAGCTTCATATGGCTATTTTGGACTTAGGAGTATATCCGGATATTGATTTGGAGGTCGGTAGGTTGTTTTGGCTTGAATTGGTGAAAGTTGAAAAGCCGAGAAGTTTGACCGAAAGTTGACTTTGTTGATATCGTGCTCGGATTTTTAGTTCCGGGAGTTGGAATAGGTCCGTTATGTCATTTATGACTTGTGTGTAAAATTTGAGGTCAATCGGAGTTGGTTTGGTGTGTTTCGACATTGGTTTTAGAAGTTGGAAGCTCAATAGTTCATTGGGCTTGAATTGGGGTGCGATTTGTGTTTTCGATGTTGTTTGATGTGATTTGAAGCTTCGACTAAGTTCGTATGATGTTTTAGGATGTTTTGGTATGTTAGGACGGGGTCTTGGGGCCTCAAGTGTGATTCGGATCATGTTCGGCTCATTGTTGGACTTGTAGAATGCTGTTATGCCTGATTCTAGTTTACTTAAACATGAATCGCGAGATACGGTCCACAATAGCGAGGGGTTGTTTGGTGATTGGTGAAAATTGTTCAACGCGTTCGCGATCATGGGCATGTGTTCGCGTAGCTTTGTGGTCTCAGGTCACCCCGAACACGAGTGGTATTACGCGTTCGTGTAAGAGGAGTGGTCAGCTGGGGGTATACGACTTCAAACCTACGCGATCGCGCAACTAGAGTCGCGTTCGCGAAGAGTTGGATCAGGTAATATCGCGTTTGCGAAGTGTATTATTGTTGGCAGCATCTTTTGTTCTTCGCGATCGCGAGGTTCTTCCATGATCGCGAAGAGGTACCACTGGGCAGACTATTTAATTTCAAAAATGTGGGTTAGAGTGTTATTTCATATTTGGACTTGGGGAGCTCGACGAGGAGGGATTTTTGAGAGGGATTTCACTACAAATCAAGAGGTAAGCTATTTTTGATCAATTTTGTCCAATAATAGTTAATACCCATTGATTTCTACACTTAGATTATGTGGTTTTAGGTCGTTCATGAATACCCATTTTAGTCTTGTTCTATCCGTGGAATTTTTATGTATTAGAGTAATTAAGTTGTGGTTCATGTTAGAAATCATGCATAGGCTATATGCTTATTATGTTGGGACCCACTGAGATCATTTTTGCTGTTGAGTTGTTTGCTTAAGTTGCAATTATATACTCACTCATATTCATTCATTTGCATATGAGATTTGTGAGCCTGCGAGACCGGAGAGATTGATGACTGAGTTGGGGCCTGAGAGCCAGATTGTGTGATATTTATGGGATCGGGCTACACGCCGCAACAGTTATTTATGGGATCAGACTGTACACCGCATCAGGCCTTATTGGTCATTTATGGGATCGGACTGCACGCCGCAACAGGCTTTATTGACTTATTCTATGATCGAGCTGCACACCGCAACAGACCATATTGGCAGTATATTAGAGCTAGGGCAGGATCTGCCCCTCCGAAATCTAACATACCAGTAGTAAGCGTAGGTAACGTACAGTGCTGAGTGATTGTATGTGATGAGTGGAAGTTGAGAGAGCATTATTGAGTACTCTGAGAGAGTGAGTAACTGGGAGTATCATTGTGATGCATTACATTTGACATGCACATTTAACATGTAGGCATAGAGATGTAATATTCCTCATGCTAGCTGTACTTGGCCTATTTTATCAGTGTTGAACTTAGATTGTTGAACTCGAAAAGCATGCCCACATTTCTATACAGTGTACGAACTCGAAAAGCATGCCCACATTTCAGATGTGCAGGCCTTGGCCAATCAGTTCGTAAGGTTAGATGTTTCAGAGCCTAGTCGGGTTCTAGCTTGTATGGTTTCTCGATCTTCTTTATATGAGCGCATCTGAGAGCGTCCGTATGACGAACCCCATTTGCTTGTCCTTAAGGACACGGTTCAGCACGGTGATCCCAAGAAGGTTTCTATTGGAGATGATAGGGTGTTGTGGATGCAGATTCGGATTTGTGTGCCCAATGTGGATGGATTACGTGAGTTGATTCTTCAGGAGGCCCATAGTTCGTAGAATTCCATTTATCCAGGTGCTGCGAGGATGTATTAGTACTTGAGACAGCACTATTGGTGGAGAAGAATGAAGAAGGATATAGTGGAGTTTGTAGCTTCGTGCTTGAATTGTTAGCAGGTGAAGTACGAGCATTAGAGGCCGGGCAGTTTGCTTCAGAGGCTTGAGATTCCTGAGTAGAAATGGGATCGTATCACCATGGACTTCATTGTTGGACTCCCGTGAACTTTGAAGAAATTTGATGTTATTTAGGTGATTGTGGACCGGTTGACTAAGTCCGCGCATTTCATTTCGGTGGTGACCACCTATTCTTCAGAGCGGTTGGCTAGGATCTATATCCGCGAGATTATTCGTCTTAACGGTGTGCCGGTGTCCATTATTTTTTATCGGCGCACGTAGTTCACATTGTAGTTTTGGAGAGCAGTGCAGTGAGAGTTAGGCACACAGGTTGAGTTGAGTACAACATTCTACCCTCAGACGGACGCACATTCTGAGCGCACCATCCAGATATTGGAGGATATGCTACGCGCTTGTGTTATGGATTTTGGAGGTTCTTGGGATCAGTTTCTACCGCTTGCAGAGTTTGCCTACAACAACAACTACCAACCAAGTATTCAGATGGCTTTGTATGAGGCCTTATATGGGAGTCGATCTCCAGTTGGGTGGTTTGAGTCGATGGAGGCTAGGTTGCTGGGCACGGATTTGGTTCAGGATGCTTTGGACAAGGTCAAGATGATTTAGGATCGGCTTCGCACGCCTCAGCCTAGACAGAAGAGTTGCGCCAATCAGAAGGTCCGTGATGTTGCCTATATGGTGGGAGAGAAGGTATTACTCAGAGTTTCACCCATGAAGGGTTTTATGAGGTTCAAGAAGAAGGGCAAGTTGAGCCCTCGGTATATTGGCCCTTTTGAGGTCCTTGAGAGGATTGGAGAGGTGGCCTACAAGCTTGCACTGCCACCATCGAGTGTTCACCCAGTGTTTTATGTTTCCATGCTCTAGAAGTATTTTGGTGATCCGTCTTATATTTTGGACTTCATCACAGTTCAATTAGATGGAGATTTTACTTTTGATATGGAGTTGGTGGCCATTTTGGATCGGCAGGTTCGAAAGTTAAGATCAAAGAATATAGCTTCAGTGAAAGTACAGTGGAGAGATCAGCCAGTTGAGGAGGTTACTTTGGAGACTGAGCGGGAGATGCGTAGCAGCTATCCACACCTATTTGGGACTCCAGGTATGATTCTAGACCCGTTTGAGGACGAACATTTGTTTAAAAGGGGGAGAATGTAATGACCCGGCCGGTCATTTTGAGTATTTTAGCCCCGTTCCCCCATTTATTGCTTATTCTATGTTTAATTGTGGTTATGTGGCTTGCCGGGGGTGGTTGGTTTGGTTCCGGGGATGTTTCAGAATGAATTGGGACACTTAGTCCCAAGGTGGGAAGCTTAAGTTGAAAGAGTTGACCGGATGTTGACTTATGAGTAAAAGACTCCGGAATTG